CATTAACTATGGTTCCATAAAAAGGGGCAGCGGAATTGTTAGAACTACAACGTTTGGGTGAAAACCACTTACGAAGTGCATTTCGGTTATAAGGTTTTCCACACGTATTTGGAAACAACATCGGCCCATTCAAGCATGTCACATGACGTGTTAGTGGACTATCGTTATCATGTTCAAGACGGCTGTCATTATGAAGCTATGATCTGTCAGGGTATTAGTTAATCGTCCACACGATTATTTACTTACACGCAAACTAATTAGGGTGTGTTAAAACCCTATCCGTACGTTGCGTTTTACTATCGTATCAATGCGACGTGGGGAACTCTGTGCCACCACTTTCAAAGAGGAAATTTACTCGTTAGTACGATCCGTACGCCTTGCATAGCAGTATGTGAAAATAATCTTTTTGAGAAATACGTAAAGTTTCAAAGAGATCTTCGTACTGGAAGTATTCTAAAATGTGAAGAATACAACCCTGGGGGTACAAAATGACCCCAGGGCGTACGGATAGGGTTAAATCAATATCAAGCCACACACGGTGTTACTAGATGTCGTTTATGAAGTATCTGGACACTGCAGGAGACACGTGCATCGCGAGGTAGTCAGTTAAAAGACGCAATGCGGCAGCCGCCATCTTTGTCGGCTGTTGACTACAACTCAGATAGAAAGATAGAAGACGGGTATAAGGTGGATACGGCGGGTTCAGCCGGGTTCAGTAGAAGCTTGGTTGGCTTTGACCTGGACGAAGTACACATTTTCTTTCTGATTTGTTCAACCTTTTGTTTTAGTTTTTTCCCCACTTTGGCTGGAGAGATGCCCGGCGCTGGCAGGCAGTCATGACCTAGTTTGTGCTAGCAGTTGGCTCAGGAACATATGGCAGCTCAGGGCAAGTAACACCCCCTCCAGCCTCCTGCGCCTTACCACATACGGGGCCAACATTGGGTGAGCATTTCTGTATCGAATCGAAACGTTCAGGTTAGAGTAGCCTGCTATCCCATCCTCAGACACGAGTCCGCTCCAAAGAAGTTTGTCTTTTGGGTAAAAACAAAACAAAACAAAGCAAGACAACCAAAAAACCCAACCTGTAGGTTGCCACCAAGACGTCATCTACTATGACTGCATAGAGGTAAATACCGTCCAAACCCTGAGATGCCCCAACTGTAATCTTCAACCACATTTCAAGAAGAAAGAAAGATTTTCAGTTGATCATCACACATTGAATGACCGTTACCGTGTCATTGTGCTTCTCTTGAACTCAAACTCAAGCTCCAATCTAGCAGGAACCACTATATGGCGAAAGGTAGCCCCAGACGAGTATTTTAAGGCAATTGGAACGTGGCATGATGCCAGAATTTTGGGGTTTTTGGCATACACGTATGCATTCGACCAAATATTTGTATACTCGATGGCACAAACCCAACCAAAGAAAGAGAGTAGAAAGTACACAAAACTTGGACGGCTTTTGAGCGAGAGTGTATTATAGATGAGAATCTACTCGTATGTATGTTTGGGATGGTTTTTCGTTATGTGGCGGAACACGATTTTCTTGTTACTGTGAAATATTTTATCCAATGTGAACGAATTATTACTTTTCAGTGAACATTTGATTGATTTAAAGCGCTCAGATCGTATACTCGTATGGGATAGAACGCTATATAAATGCAATCTGTCATTATTATTATTATCATTATTATTAATGTTATTATTAATGTTATTATTATTAATGTTATTATTATTAATAATGTTGTTGTTATTATTATTATTATTAATGTTATTATTATTAATAATGTTGTCGTTGTTGTTGTTGTTGTTATTATTATTATTATTATTATTATTATTATTATTATTATTATTATTATTATTATTATTATTATTATTATTGTTGTTGTTGTTGTTGTTAATATTATTCATATGATCATTGTTATAATTATTATTATTACTATTATTATTATTATTATTATTATTATTATTATTATTATCATTATTATTATTATTTTTATTATTACTATGACTCTGAGCATGACCGTATTAAAGACTCGCATCAAACTCGTTTGGTAACCTAGGTTCTTAGCAATTCAAATTGGTTTCTCCCTCCTCCATAATATGCTCTATTGATTGAATGATCTCCATAACACAAATACCGACACCAGCTCGCATAAGAACGTCGATCATTTGGACATAGTCTGGTGTGGTTGGTTTTTCATTATCAATATTATGGAAAGTGTGGGATCTGCACGACATGTTGCTTTTATCACTGGGGAAACGAAAAACACGAAGTGGTATCTTTCATTCTTCATCGCAAGTCAACTGATCAATATTTCATTTTTATTCATAGAGGTCCGAGCTAATTAAGTATATGAACAGTTTCGTATCGCCTCCTAACGCTACATATCATTATACATGTAGTATCAGAGCGAGTCAATGTTTTAATATTCGTGTTTACGATCCTCACTACTCTCTATTTCTTCTACCTTATCCTGAACCTTCAGAAAAGTAAGGAAATATATTATACAAAGAACGTGAGATTAGTTTTTGGGTTTGTCTGCGTAGGCTGAAGGCACCATCTGGCCTTCTTTCCCCCTCTCAAACAGTAAGGGGAGTAGCTATTACTTTTTTGTAAGTAGGAGAAATATAGACTGTACGCAGGCTCCTTTTTCAATCTGTACCTCAAATTTCTTCCCATCTAATCCCGGCCTTTTCTGTTTATAATTCTCAATACACTAATATTTAATAAGTCCTTGAGGCTCAGCGATGCACGTGTCTTTCTGCTTGTGAGCAACCGAAGGGACTCATTTTCTTCTCTGGATTTCTCAGGGAAGGAAAAAAGAAACACATGACTTACTTTACTCGCAGTCTGCCACTATGTGGAGAAGAAAAGTACGGTGCACCATTTGATCATAAACTGTAAAACTTATTATACAAGTCAAACTTATAACATGGTACCTAAAATGAAACACCCAAAATCTCTTAAGTAATTTTTACTGTTTTGAAATGGGTGTAAAATCCACACCGCACTGACACTGAAGGAAATACAAACAGGTTGACTCTTTCGATTATTAAAGAATGCAAATGCATATTAACAAAAGCAGAATACTATATTGACTATACTTAACGATATTATGCCATTTTTGCATCATTCAGCTGAAAACTGTTGTTTATTAATGTAGGCTCATAATATGTTGATGTAACTATATATATATATATAATATATAGTCGAAATAACTTTTTAAAAAGCACATTTTAATCGTTGTCTCCCTCTACGTAAAGGTACTAGTCAAAGATAAAAAGGCACACTTTATCAATGTATACAGTACAGCGTTAGAAAAGTGAAACATTGGTTCCCAATGACATCAATAAAAGTTAAATCAAGTAAAAATGAATTTCTCAAGAATTCAGCAAAAGCCGAATAAAGCCAGGAAAAGATTCTACAAAAAGGAAAAAATAAGAGGCACATACAAAACAGAACAATAATTTTTTTGTCCTTTGACACTTCAGCTAATTCGAGTAATGACAGTGAAATCATATTATTATAGGCTGCATATCTTCCTTTTCAGTGTTTCAACAGAATACATCCCGAATGAATATTTCAAAGCTTTCTTTTCACATTACTCTAATCTTATTCTTAATATTGTTCTTGTTCTTGTTCTTGTTCTTGTTCTTCTTTCTTGTTCTTCTTGTTCTTCTTCTTCTTCTTCTTCTTCTTCTTCTTCTTCTTCTTCTTCTTCTTCTTCGCATGCTTACCTAAGTTAGGCTTGCAGTAACGATGCTCTTTGTTGAAAAATAAAACCCACATGATTTGTGTCCCCTAAAGCAAAAACAAAACGTACAAGCAGAAACAAAAAAACAAGCTATCTACTGAAAAAAAACCCACAGATATATTTCGTCTGTGCTCTTCTGTCTCGGTGCTCCTGCACCAACCATACTGTGCATGTATACGTAGCGTACTCTATAGAAGCAAAGTGTTTGAATACACATCGTCTTACACAAGTAACTTCCATTCGAAAAGGGAAACGCTCAGGTGCACTATCTACGTAAGCAGGGTCAGTTGATGCAAACCCGCACACTTCTTCTGCACGGTAAAGCTCTAACATTAGAAAGAAACACTTCTAAAAAGCTTTCCGTGCAACGCTAAAGGGATATAATGTCAGGTGGAAGCAAGCTAAATAAGAATTTATGTGTATACAAACAAGTCAATTAAAACAGACGAGGTAGAAAAAGCAAAATTAATTTCTCGCTTGCAGCGTTATCTGCGTAAGGTGAAGATTATAAACATGTCATAAATGTTTTCAAAATGAGTATGTGGGTAAGCAAAAAAAAGTAATAAAAGAAGAAACAAAACAAAAATGATGGCATGTAAAAAAAAAAATGAAGCTGCCATAATATTAGTATCTGAAGAAAATAGCTCGAAAAAGCTATAGGAATTTCGAAATAATGTATCTAGGAGGCAATTTATTGACCTTTTTCAATTTAATTTTATCCTGCCACTGACCGCATTATTCCTAAACAGAACCCAACATTACGTCCCTAGGACACCCGAACCAGCACACTTAATTCTTTTCTCGTTCTTCACATTTAGAGATCACTAACTGAATTATACAGTTGCACCCCTTTGCCTCTACGTGTTAGTCTTGTGGCAAGTATTAACGAAACCTGAAGACAACAGAAGTGTCCCATCACAGTGTATACGATCTGCTCTGTCACTAATCATTAGCTAGTCGATAGTCTGTGCATCTCGGAATACACGCTGTCTTAGATTTATCGTATCCTACATTTTCCTAACCTAGGAGGACGACTATACTAGAGTCAATGCCTAAACAGAACCCCTCTCCCTTTGAAGAGAACTATTTGACACTTAATTCGCATATCTAGATCTAGTAGCATAACGGAAACAAGGGACAATACCATAAATTATTGTTCTCTAAATAAAACACAAAATAAGAAGCAAATGCACAGGCCAAATGACGTTATAATAAAGCAAAAAGCAGAAAGGACGACCTTACCCTGGCTGCCATAGAAGTCGTTGGTTTCTCCAGGAGATCCCAAACCTTCTGTCTCCAGTGCGAGCATACTCCGGTGCCGAAGTCGTCTTCGTCTCTCTGACGGATTGATTCTGCCTCTTTACGGATCTCCTCGTAAACATGTTCCTTTTTCTGGTGATATCGATGCTGGCAGCACGACTCCAGATATAACTCGTCCACGCCCCAATACTCCAGATCCTCAGAAAAGCTGAGAACGCACATCTCTTCGACCAGATGAAGTCGCCCTGTCCGGTAGAAGTTGAGGATGGAGGAGAAAGAGCGAGGATGCCGGTCGAAGAAAAACTCGTTCTCTCCAAGGTTGTAATCGTCGCACAGCTCCATGAGGGCCTCGTGGCACGTGCAGTCTCGAAGCTTCCCCAGCCTGGTGTGGGGCATGCGCTCTAACGTCCTCCACAGAACCTCGTGTTTCACCCCGCCCACATTCAGAATGACACGCCTACTGCGCTGTCGCGAGCGTGCGATGGCGTAGGCGTCCGGGGGTTGTGGATCTGGATTGGGGTAGTAGCGGCCTTGAGCGGGGAGTGGCAGGGGCGGGGCTTGGCCAGGAGGAGGACCGCCCCCTTGGTGGTGATGGTGGGGATGATCGACAGGTGCCCCCGCGCCGCCCATGCTGATGAGCGAGCCCGCAGTGGAGGACGGCGTGGGAGCCGAGGGGGCGTGGCTTGCAATCTTGACCTCCAGCCGTTTTTGATCTCCGCGCGAGCGCAGACACGAGCCGGAGGGCGGGGCTGAGGTGGCAGAAGAGGGCGTGGTGGGAACCCCCTGAGCGGCGGGAGTGGGGCTCGCCTCCCGGGGGTCTCTCAGTGTGGACAGAGGGGCCAGCTCTCTGCACGCATCGGCGCTGGAGGAGGGCGAAGAAGGACCCCGACTAGAGCCCCCACCCCCGGAGTCCTTTTTGCGCATGACTGCAGGTCCGGAATAATGTCTGTAGGGGCCTCCATGGCCCGAGACTAGGCCGCCGAGTCCCTCTCCGCTCTGCGCTGACCCCGAGCTGTGGGAAGAGGAAACAAAGGGGTTCAGTAACCTCTACAGATTAAAAAAAAATCTTTTAGTCTACTAAGAGTTTACGGCACTTGCAACACAATAAGGTCATATAAGTGCAGAAGAATAGATGTGTTACAAGCGAGTAACAACCACAAAAAAAGAAGGAGGAGAGATCAGGACGATAGATGTTTGACAGGAAAGAAGGAGCAAACCACACCAGAGCACCCGCCAACCACCCACGCAGATTTTGTTTTCGTAAGAGATTTATGGCACTTGCAACACAATGAGGCCATATAACATAAATATAAGTGCCGAAAATTAGAAGTATTACAAGAGAATAACAAACATAAAAAGAATGAGGGGAGAAAACGACGATAGACATTTGATACAAAAAGGAGCAAACCACGAAAGAGCACCCGCCAACCACACACTGAGTAACCCCAGTGTTCTTGAAAGATCTGTTTCTGATCTGAAGCCCAAGGTAAATAAATATAGTAACAGCTACAACAAACTCGATTTTGAGTTTGTTTGTTTTAATACGCGTTTTACGGCACTTGCAACACAATTGGGTCACATAAGTGCCGAGGATGAGAGTAGTAACGAACACAAAAGAGGAGATGGAGAGATCAGGAAGAGAGATGTTTGATAGACAAAGAAGCAGCAAACCACACCATCAGAGCCCCCCC